GTCAAGTCCGCTGAACTCTTTGCGAATGTATTGATTGGAGTTAAATAGAAAATACAGGTTTCGAATTTTTTTTATTGCATTATAAAATGCCGAGAAAAGGTCTCTATATGGAATTATACATTTGGCAAAGGGCCTACACGGCTTTCCATACGCATACGCACTCGTTTGTCGAAAGTTTCCATGACTACTTTGCATAAATTTGACTGAATTAATTTGGAACCACGTTGAATCTCCTCTTTTAATGCAGACTTGGCAGTGGGCTCTTTGTTATTGACCTGTTATTTTAAATAATCCCATAACAAGACATTGGGGGTAAGCAACATGATCTAAGGAACTAAATCTGATCATCAAAACGAGAGAGTACGCGACCTGGAAATGTCTCAAGCAATGATTAAGGCGTTTCACGGGCTGTAGGGCATGTAGGTCTTCTCGAAACCATATATTCACCACATCAAATAACATTTAATTTCGGCAAAAAGAATTAGGTTATCCCGTCGCCATATCCAGCACCTGTAACAGTCACTGCTTGACCATACACTTTTCAAAAGAATATGGTCCAATTATGTCTTCACCCAAAAATCCACACCAAACAGTGAAACGCGATGCATTTGCTTTCAACAATCACCGGTGAACTCTCAAAACCCCAAAAACGACAATTTCTGAGAGTCACAAACCTATCATGGTGCGCTTCATCGCTGAGGATGATTTTGCTCGAAAAATCTAGATACATTTTTTGATGCTCAATCTCAATCCATTCGACAAACTTTCTTCGCCTTACAAAGTTATTAGGCTTCAATTGTTGTGCTAATTGAATTTTGTAAGCATGGAAATAGAGATCTTTAGTGAATGTAAGCTTTAGAGAGCTTATTTAAATTTGGCAATTCTAGTCCACGACGTCGAGTTGATATACCGGAATTTTCACGGGCACTCCCTCCCACTGCTTCCAAGTTTTCATTTGAAAGACTTATTTTTGGACGACCAATGTTTTTGGCATCTCCAACGGACCCTGTCTCCTAAAACTTTTCAATTAATCTCTTTACATTTTCCAGTCAAGTTTTCATTATTTTTAAATATTTTTTCAATAATAAAGACGCGTTATTCCATCGTGTTACGCTACATTTTTACTAAACCTAAACTATAAGCTGGGAGGCCGCAAAACTGCCACTCGGAAGGGGCTTTTCTCCTGGTTCGACCAACATGGAAATGTCAACCTCTCTGTATGTACTTCTGATACAAAATTAGGACCTCCTCGTAAAAATTTATCGGCCGTTCAGCTATAGCTTAGTATAAACTATAGCTCCATCCATTTGTTGGAAAAACATCAAGACGTCTACATTAAATTGGAGGAGGAGCTCGACCGAAAATCGCAAAGTGCCAATTATATACCTAAAATATCAGCTGCAAAAATTTTTTTATGATTGTCAACCCTTCTACTACATAAATGGCGACAAATTTAAATTGTGCATTAAATTTGGGGCACTCTTTGGATAATACTCATGAACTCTGCCGTCTTATACTGCAACTACCCATCTTAATTACCTTTCGTCCACAGCAACCTATCTCACGAGAGCGCTATACAAATGAAAAGTTGTCACCGCTTGTCGATGCCATTACTGACGGTTGTCCCGCAGAAAATACTCTAGTTTGTATATTTTATTACAGTCGGGTTTTATAGCTAGGCGTTATGTAAGATGAGTAGTTGCAGCATTATACGGCAACACCCTGTGTACAATTTTTTTTTAATATTAATTTATCTCGAGATTGGAGAGTGTAAATCGTTTTTAAATTTTTTGTTTTGCGTTGGAAGAGAGAGAGTGAGGAAGAGAGAAAGAGGGACAGAGAGAGAAAGAGAGAGAGAGAGAGAGAGAAAGAGACAGAGAGAGAGATAGTGAGGGAGAGAGAAAGAGAGGGAGAGAGAGAGATAGTGAGGGAGAGAGAAAGAGAGACAGAGAGAGAGACAGAGAGAAAGAGAGAGAGAGAGAGAGAGAGAGTAAGCGAGGGAGAGAGTGAGGAAGAGAGTATTCATAACTCAAAATCTCGTACTTAAATAAATTAATGAATGAGTGCATATTTTCTACAATTTATGCAGTTTTATATAAATTAATTCCGATACATAAATTAAATTTCAACATAAAATTACTATTATCACCTCAAAGCAGTAAAAAATTTCCTAAATAAAGTAATTAACACTTATGAGTGTCGCATAAAACATAATTTTATAAATGAAAATTGCTCAAATATGGGTCAAAATTCAATATCAAGGTTAACCGGTAGCGATAAAAGATAAATAGCAAATATTCGTACTACATATATACATATTTGTACATATACATATATACTTGTATAAATATATTTTGAAGCAGTACAATTGAGAAATCGGAAAACACAGATCGTGCGCCACTGAAACTCTAAAAAGAAAACAATAGCATATAAATATTTATATATACGAGTATATACAATATATGGATATGTACATTTGTATATAGATGCACTTTTTTTTTGTTTAAATACACATATCAAGTTTTGACAAAATGGTATGTCTTTGTGCTTAAAATTCAAACAAAATCGTTATTTATGCGGCCTGAAACGATGCCGCACCACAAATGATGATAATGAGACAGAGACTTCAATAAAACTGCTCGTATCTCGGTGAATCAATATCACCATGATCGTCTATAAGAGTTTAATAAATACTTTAAGTGTTCACCAAAGCAAATATTGTATATAAAAGTGTTGAGTGTTAAGTGAATGTTTTTTTTTCTGTATTTTGTCATTGTTTGAAGCTTTGAAGACTTAGGATAGTTGGAGGTGCGAAAACACGAATAAAAATGTGTAAAACAAATTCAAAAAAAAAAAATAAGTTATTTGATGATTGAAGGTGATAAGAGGTTCATCATGCTTAACAAATTGTCAGTGAGATCGACTGAAAATGGTAGTTAATATGATAACACACCAAAACGGCTGGGTCGAAGGCTTATATTTTCCATGAAAATCATATTTTAGATTTAAATGTTAATAAATGAACTATTACAGAATTTTTCACGTATTTATTTCATATTAATTAAGTCATTTAAGTTCACTTTTGGCACTGCTTAATTGCGAAAATTAAGATATGAAATCACTTACCTTTCATTAGTTAGGCGATTTACTAGATCAAATGTGTCATGGTTTTCGCGACTATGGATTTCAAAAAGAAATAAATTACATGACAAAGAGGCGTCCCAGTCTCTTCAAATTTCTTTGAATTTTTCCAAGTGCCTGAGTAGTTGGACGATTATGTGCACCATGATCTCCTCTTGAAGTTTGAAGCTTGACCACGTTGCAATCACCCTTTTTGTAATAGTTTTTAGCAATTTTAATCAGTTGCAAATGAAACTATGACCAATGTTGTCAACGGTCCTCTTCTTGTGCTCCAACTTGCGGAACTGCGTACTCCAGTACAAAGCAACATCTATTGATAAGACTGATTATACGTAGGATGTCTGGGCTGATGCTATTACCAATAGAACGACCGCAATAGCCCAGTGGCTAGCATTGCTTACTGACACTTCAGCCCTAGATGCTGATCGATCCAAAAAAAGCTCTCCGGATGTATTTTTGATATAAAATAAAAGCTCCTCATCAACACCTATCGGACGTTCGGTGGCGGCTCGGAATAAATTGCGGGTTGGAAAACATCAAGACGCAAAATCACAAATTTATGATGGAGCGAGGCCGTATAACGCTTAAACTGCAATTATACTCGTATATATATATATATATATATTGGACATTTATTCCGGATAAAGTAGGGAGCTTAAAATGACGTACCCATTTATACTCTCAGATGGTAGGGTGCCACTACTTGGTTGTGTGTTGTGATTACAGCTTTTCGACATGCAACTTTCCTCGGGTTTGTTGACGAGTATTCGGCACAACGAAAAGGTGATCGCGTATCTTCGCTGTGACAAGATAGTGGTCGGAGTCGATGTTAGGACCTCGGAAAGTGAGCACACCCAGAACACTGTGGACAAGTCTTTTTCGAACCGGAAACAGCCATTGCAGCTTAATGAATTTTCTTGTTGTGATATTCAGTACTATATACAACAACATTTCGTGCCCATCGAAGGCTATCAGCCCTAGTCCTCATTGGAGGCGGAATTTTCCAACTTTTGTGCCGAGGATACCTGCCTTGTCAACTCTCGCATTAAAATTACTTAGAACGACTTTGACATAGTGGCAACGTGGGACACCACTAATGGGTGCATTCCAGGCGTACTTCTTTTGCATCCTAGCGTGCTCGCTAATCAGCCATATATGTATTATAAAAGCCTGGCTACATTTTGGGATTGTGCAGCACGTTTGTACAATGAACTGAAGACCAGCACCAAACTTGTACTCTTTTCTCTCTCTCTTCCACAATTGGCTATTATATTTATTGGACAGCGACGATGCTTGTCTACATCAACCAGAAAGACAGTGGCAGCTTCCCAATAAGGGACTGGATCTTCAAGATGTATGCTCTTTGATCGTGGTATTCTGCAGTGGTTGTTATGAAGAGTGAAGGTTCTTATATGAAGCTTGTGGGTTTTCATTGGAGCTATTTTTTTTGTCGCGTACCCTCTTCTAATAACCTTCAGGCAATCAAATTCCGGCTTACTGACTTTAGATGACCCTTAAACCGAATATGTCGGAGTATCCCCACTGAAGCTGCCTCTCTCCCTTTTTTTGTTAGTATAGGTGTGACCCCAGGTACTAAGGGGTTGCTAACCGAAAAACTAACTCACGCTTGCGAGATGGACTGTGCATAGTCTTTAACTTTATACACAGAAGAAAAACCAATAGAGAAGCAAAACAGCAGAAAAGGCTGTATATTTGAAAGGAGAATGACTTTAGGAAACGCCAGTAGCAATTAGAAAGTATTAATCACATATCCACTATTTCTAACAACAATTTTATGAAATATTCATCATTCGATACTGAATTCTTATACCCAATATCATACCCTTATATCCTTTCAGCCGAAGTTAATACGAAAGTACGGTTACCCATCAGAGACGCACACGGTGGTCACAAAGGATGGCTACATATTGGAAATGCATCGAATACCGAAACGTGGCGCACAGCCCGTTCTGCTGATGCATGGCATATTGGACACGTCGGCCACATGGGTGCTAATGGGACCCAAATCGGGGTTGGGTGAGTTAGAAAATCACTGTGAATACAACTCTCGAACTTTTTAAATATTTTTGTTTTGTTTCTTAATACTAGACAATCTATCTATTGCATTCTCTTTGTCTTTTGTTAGTTTACATACATATTTTCTAAACATGCATTCCATTTACGCTCCTTCGTTAACACTAACGTACTCACGTATGTATGTATCTACACCAAAAGGGGATCTTTTAATTAACTTTCTGTGTTTCTGATGCCTTTACATATACATAGATACATACATATGCATGTAAATATCTCTAATAGCCACTGTTCATCTGTGTATGTGTTGTTTCTTACAAAAAAATTCAAAAAAAGCCAAAAAAAAACAAAAAACATTCCATTTTGGTCCCTCCAAAATTCATCTCGTTCTTCACTGAATTTTTCGATTTTACTCTTTGCCCACAGGTTACATGCTCTCCGACCTGGGCTATGACGTGTGGATGGGCAATGCACGCGGTAATCGGTATTCGAAAAATCACACCAGTCTCAATAGTGATTACCAGGAATTTTGGGATTTCACCTTTCACGAAATGGGCAAATATGATTTGCCTGCCAACATTGATTACATCCTCAGTAAAACGGGCTACGAACAATTGCACTACATTGGACACTCACAGGTGAGTTGATATGGGCAAACGGTTTGCTTCATTTTTTTTTCTGTTTTTGTTTTTGTTTGTTTTTGGTTACATTTGATTTTTCCTCCGCAGGGCACTGCAGTTTTTTGGGTTCTCTGTTCGGAACAACCGGCCTACACGCAAAAAATCCTTTCCATGCATGCTTTGGCGCCCATTGCATTCATTTCGGACATGAAGAGTCCGCTCTTCCGTACGTTGGTAGTGTTTTTAGACTTTTTAACGGTACGTATGAACGGTGTGTTGCAAGTTACAGCTTAATTTTTTGGTTTCTGCCATCTGCTGCATTTGTTTTTTTCTTTTTTTTTTGGCATTTTTTGCATTTTCAGGCAGCAACACGCATGCTACGCATTACGGAGTTTATGCCAAATACGAAGTTGTTTGTGGATCACAGCCAAGTGGTGTGTCATGACAATGCCATGACGCAGGATGTGTGCTCAAATATCCTCTTCCTGGTTGCCGGCTACAATTCAGAGCAATTGAATAAGGTAAGTCAAAAAGAAAGCTTCGCAAGTTGTTGTGTGGTATTTTTGGCAAACTACCTTAAATCTGGGATATTCCGAATCAGCTCATAAAACTTTTATTTAAATACGACTATATGCTTTTGGACGCCCGTGGTTGGTATCAAGTGGCAATACCTCAGACCTGAATAGAGGAGTCATATTGTACTCTGCCTCCACGGGTCCAAAACGGGCTTCAGATTGGGTGCGTGAGTTTACTCCGCGGATCTTAACACCTTCCTATCTTTGTGCCTACCAAACACAGGTTTCATCTCCAAAGAAGAAGCACCGGACATGGAAAAAGCCTGTAAGTACTGTTGAAACGCTAAAGAAGGATACCGAAAGCAACCTTTTCGAACAGCCTTACAGGTCAATTCAAAATATCCATAGGTTCACTGCCACAGGAACATTTTTGATAACGAAACACTCAAGTGTTGTCTAAGTCGAGAGCATCCCTTGAGGCATTCGTATGCTCAATAGAGATCTTTAATTGCAATTGTAATTTCTAGATATTTTAGAGCAGAAAAACATCAAACCAACCTTAGGTTCAGAAATATTATATATGTAAGTAAATTGGGGGCTCTCTTCCAAGACTTTAGTTGCTTTTTCATTGTACTATATTTTTCATATGGTGGGTCGCATACTCTACGGGCAACTACATGGGTTTCGACCTCTCACTTTAGCTCGCCTCCAAGCGAATAATTGTTGGCTACCCAATATTCTTATTGGTCTAAACCAGGAAGTCGGGAGTCGCTTGATTCAAGTGAATGACAGCCAAAAGCTTCCCCTCCACATTATCCCATCAACGGAAATCCAACACATGATAGCTCTGGCCAAAAGGTACTACTTTGTACTAAGTAGACAATAGAAAAGTAAAGTCCTCTCGACCAAGCTCTACAAGTCACTCATAATATCCGAACGACTGTATGGTGCAAGGAAGTGGACGCTGTCGGCAACCGATGAGTCCGCCCTGAAAGTCTTCGAAAGATAAGTTTTGCAAACGTTTTATGCTACTTTGCGCATTAACACGGCGGATATTACAGCCGATGGAACGATGAGCTGCATGAGTTTTATGATGACATTGACAAAGTTCAGTGAATGAAGAGACAGCGCCAGCTTTGAACGTATTTGAGGTAACTTTCCCCTTTGTCTCGAATAGTGAATAATGAATATGCACACACAACAACAGCAACAGTAGAGTTCCTTGATGACGCTTTGATTTTAAACGTTGAACCTGTCTCCTGTTAGGAGCATAATTACTGTGATGTTGACATCAAACCTCGTCAGGGTTTACTACAGATACTTCTTCTGTGAGTGCTGCAAAGAAACCAAGCTAGTTTTGGGCTAGAGATAACGCAGCGGAGCAGCTAGCAAGAGACAACTGACAGTGCCAACATATTGTTTGTTTCGACGGTAGATTCGAAGACCTACTCTAAGGAAGTATGAGCTCGATCTCAACGGTCAAGTCAAATTATGTGCGAACCACCAAAAGTCGGGACTACTAAAAAGGCACCCCTGCGAGGTTAGGGGTTCAAGAATTTAATGGTTAAAACAAAAACTACAACAACAACAACATCACTACTACAAAGGACTATGCTGAGCAGCACATACGCACTCTTAAATGGGATAGCACGGGAGAGAATATTATGAAAATTGAGTGGTAAGCGTAGGCAAACTACACTCCCAGAGAGTTGCTGCCAACTTTAAATCAAATCCCTGATGGAGTTTGGACCGATAGGGCGATATCTACGGAAGACGGTATTTACAGCTTTAGGAGACTCATCGCCAAGCGTTAATGTGAGCAATGCAAAAAAAAATACACTCAACGGCGTTAACTTAGCCTGATTTTGCGAGCAGCTAAAGCAGTATATCAGTAGCTGAGTCCATCATTAGTCTTGATTAAGTGTTTGGGAGAGCTGAATTGCTCGGTAGTAGCACGGAGGTAGTGCTTTTGGATGACGATGACGTTATAAGGCTGATCGCTTAGTATTTTGGTAGCCTGCAACAAGTTATAAGAGCTTTCTCACCCTAGCTTTGGTAAGCTTTACCACGTTCTTCTCATGAGAAATTAGTTTTTAATATACTGCAGACTCATAAAGCTGTTTCTGACTTAGCTTTAAGCGAGTTCATTTTTAGAAATTATACTCCGAGCTCTCTCTAAGCTCGAATGCATACGTAATTACCAATGAACTCATTATGATTTTAAAATGATATTTACTTTAATGGTTGCGCATTACATACGTTCATCTTAGCAGGTCATCATAAATGGTGTTGCCATGTCAAAGACCCCTCATTGTGGTGACATAATTTTGTTATAAACAATTTCTTTGCACGTACCAAAGCCAAGAGACCAGCATATGCAACATGTTTGTATGTACGTTTGTATGTTTGTATACAAATAATGCACACAATGCTTGTTACACACCCCAACACGTCAACAATTTTGATATTTAAAATTCCTAAATGCTATTAAATAAACTTTCGCTGAGACGGGTGCGTTAGTGCAAACTTAACAACGCAGACGCCAACACCGCTCGGCATCAAAACAACAAAATAAACAAATAAGTCTAATTGTTGGGTGCTAATAAGCAGCAACCAAAGACTTGAATAATACTTTATTTGAATATGAAGACTTTTGTATGTATGTATGTATATATGTATGTATATAGGTAGGTAGGTAGGTGTGTATGTGCATACCGGTGTTTGCTTAACCCCTCCGCGTGTAAATTTATCCGTCTGTACATCACAGTGAGTATTTCGCCTGTGAATACATTACATAACCGCCGAGCAGAGACAAATTGAGCTAGACATTCGACAATAGTCATGCATACATATTATGTAGGTTTACATATGTACATTGCCATACATAAAGCAACAAAGTAAATAATTTTTTCTATTACCACTGCCTCGACATGCCTCGAAATCATTAATAAATAAATTAATTGATCTATCCAATATGGACAGAAATTCGGAACGATTCTTTCAAGCACAAAAGTTCTTGCCGAGAAAATACTTTACACCAACAAAAGATAATAATAAATTTATTTTGTATACATATATACATATATATAATAGAAACTTTGTAACCGCTGAAGCGATTTTCCGCCGAGCTCCTCCCCCAATTTGTGGCTTTGCGTCTTGATGTTCTTCCAACAAATGTAGGAACCTACAGTTTATACTTAGTCGCCCAATAACAGCTGATAGATTTTCATGAGGAGCCTTTACTTCATGTCAGAAATACGCTCGGAGGGGTTAACTTAATCTTTTATTTAAATAAATCTTCTATAATTTTTGATCTTGGTTGCACCTGGACTCGAAACCCGACCATCCGAATGGTAGTAACAGTATCATTATTTTCTGTACTCGAAGTAAGAACAAATTACCAAAAAAAAAATTCTAATTTTGAGCGAAACGGAATATACTAGTAAAAAGTTATCCATTATTTTTGCATTAAATTGATGGTTTTATTTTCGGTAGTAAGAATTACGAGGTGTGACAAATAAGTAATGAGACTAATTATATTGCCGCGATTGTGGTAACCCTGCGACTTTGAAAGTCCCTTTCACTTCTCCCGGCATCCTTCTCCTGTCCATTGATATTATATATTCGCCATCGCTCTAGCTTGTTTAGTCCGCCTGCTGTGTCGTGTTGAGTAAACGCGCGTTCGTGGTGCTCATCACGAAAATGGAAAAACGAAATCAAGAGCAACGCGTCGCGATAAAATTTTGCATCAAATCGGACGAAACAGCTTCGGAAACGTACGCTAAAGTTGTAAAAATGCATGGTGATTGTGCTCTTAGTCGTGTCCAGATGGTGGGTGGTTGTATCCGCACGCCCCCGGCCCGAAAAAAGCTCGCATGAGCAAGTCGAAGTCACGATGATTATGGACTCTTTTGATAGCCGTGCATTTGTCCACAAAGAATTTTTTCCACCGCGGGATACCATAAATAAAATCTCCTATCGCCAAGTACTCGATAGATTGCGAAATCGAGCCAACAGGGTGCGCCCAGACTTCGCTCGCAACTGGATCCGTCATCACAACAACGCGCTGTACCACACCGCCCTTAGCATGTCCCATTATTTGGCCTCTAAAGAGATCGCCGTGCTGCAACAACCGCCTTATTCGCCCTATATGCCACTCTTTGGCTTTTATTTTTGTTCCCTAGAACGAAATAGGTGGTCAAAGAAAGCCATTTTGAGTCCATGAGGACATCCAGGCGCTGACAGTGTCGAAGTTAAGAGTTTGAGCAAACTACAATGTAGGATTCCTTGCAAATACCATCGAACGCACAAAAAACCTTCCTGTTCGTCAAACCTGACTTGGGGACCGTTATTGCCCACAGCCCTACGATCAAGACCGGTTTTTATTGGACGTTGCCGTAAGTGATCCGATTTTTATTTCCAGTTACAATTCGCTTCGGAAATGGGTAGAATTTGTTACGGTTCGGTTCGGTAGAATTTGTTACGGTTCTTGTCAACGCATGTGGCATCCAAACTTCGAGTTGCCTTTTTCAAGTAGTTCCAAACTGCTTTTATGCAATGTTTCCCTTCTGGGCAATGCGGAAAAGTTATCTTTACTGGCGCTCATCTTTGACCTGCACAAACACTGCTGGGTTAAGTAATCAACGCGTTTACCATGTTGGTTGAAGAAGAGAATTTGCAAATTAAAAACCTACTCCATCATTTATTCATCGTCTGCGCCCAGCAGTTCATGGGCAAGGAGTACGTGGGTGTGTACAGCAATATAGCTTGTGGCTTCAACCAAACCGATCGATTTGACGCGCGATCCATCTTGGCACCACTGGACTGGTCGAATGCCTTCGATACCGTCAATCACTCAGACATTGGACCATAAATAAACTGTGTGCTTGAGAGTCATTGGTAGAATTACACGATCAAAATACATTACATCAACCAAGTTCTCAAGTCAACGAAATGTTGCTTGTAACTTACGTGGTTATGGGTCAGACGGTTATAAATCACTACACCTCATGTCAAAGTACCACTTTGAGGGGGGTAAGGGCAAACTTCCTTTTGCAGCCCATGTACCCTTAGTAAAGAGGCTGCCTTCTCGTATTTTTACAGGCGGAAAATGTTAGACTTTATGATCCCTTTTGGTTATACGAACTCGTAATGGATCCGCTGGCCGTGACATACCGTCAATATACTTTGAACACCATTTACAGAAAGTCAATCAACATCTCCTTCAGAGTTCGACCAAAACCACCTATAGCAAACGAGAAAATAGGGCTGCCACTTGAAACCGCGGTTAAAATAAGACCTGGATATTGCGGTAGACGAACCTCACACTATTCCAACGCACGCAAAATGTAATTAACGTAGGTCCTGGATGTGACAAAGCCCCCCATGACGTCAACCACTTCCTTTTGTCCAAAATTGATGAAAAGCCAAATTTTCTAGGCCTTCAGTCAAATGACATCGATTATAGTCGAGACCGCAAAAGCCACACGTATTTCCTTTTCCAAGATACGAAGTGAAGTCAATTCCTTTCCGACGTCATCCTCATAACAGTATGGAGCTCTTTGTCTTCTTTTTCTAGGGCGTACTGCGTCAAATACTTATGATGATGAAGTGTTTTACGAATAGCCACGGGTCTTGAGTCCCTGAACTATGTCAATGTCGTCGTATTGCTCATAGAGCTCATAGTTCCATCGTCTATGGTATTCGACGTCGCCAATACACCGCGAATCATGGAACGTTTGAAAGAATGCCGACGTATACTTCTGCACTATATAACAGGACGGGAATGGTATGCGGTTTGTAGAGGTTGTTGTTTGTTCGTCGAACGAGTATTTCCGGAAAGTGATTGGGTGTTCGTTTACAGTGTATACATTATTTTTGGTGTTGTTACTGGTTTTCGAATAGTTAAGCCTTCAAAGTTATGACTGTCAGCAGTATTATGGGAGCCAAAAAAGCATTCCCCTATCATCCATTTCCGAACTGGGGAAAACAGAACTTACGGCGCGGTGTTTGAGGTCTATGTCATCAATGTCATCAGCAGATGGCTCTGGTACAAGATTGTGCAATCTCTGCTTTGTGCTGTTGCTGTTATTAGATTCTCCATTATCAGTTTGAGGAGTTTGAGGAGACAGCCGCTTGCCTGGAGCCTCGCTTCTCAATTCCGCCAGATATCTTGGTCTTACTTAGTATCAGTTTGCATAGCCATGCAAGTTTTGCGGGGATATCAAGCTCGTGCCTCGAAAGCCGCTTTAAAACCGACGAACAGGTAATATATGTCAATTATTTTTTTACTGTTATCTTCCATCATTTGTCAAATTATGACTATTTGATCACACGCTGGATTTTACGATTACGATGGGCTTGTCACACATTACGCCAGACTGGACCTTATATATGATATGGAAAAGGCTCCGACATTCGAGGCAGACTTTGGGACTGGGCAGAGCATACGAGTACTTAAGTTTCAATCTTCTGGCATGGTTTCGTCTGACCATTTTTCGAAAAGTTGCTGATGTGTGCATCTTGTCAGTTCTCTGCGGCCAAGCTTGAAAAGCTCAGCCGGTAAGCCAACAGCTTTCGCCGTTTCGTTATTCCCCAAGTGGATACTCGCTATTCGCGAATTATTCTAGACGAATGATGAAACGTCTATACCAACATTATCAATTGGGGCTTCGAGTAACCGATTTCCAGGTGTTTCATTTTCAGTGCGATTCTTCAGGCTTCTTCCAGCTGGAGTAGTATTCCCTTCATAAACTCAATACCTTCAGTAAACAGATTTCTTATTCCAAGATATTTTAATTAAAAAAATATAAATTTTTTTTTTAGAGAATAGCAAGACCAGTCTATTTAGGGTTCTTCTGCATCTCCTTCCACTAAAGTGTTTATAACTTACAGGGATTTTGAAACTAACCAACGATGGGTTTTCATCTATTACACCCACCATTATTTTCTGTTTTAGTTGAGATATTCTTATAATTTTCCTTTCTGTTTTCCAGACAATGCTGCCCGTCATGCTGAGTCACACACCATCGGGAGCATCGATCAAACAACTCGAACACTTCGGACAACTCATGAAATCAGGTCATTTTCGTAAATTCGATCGTGGCTATTTGCGCAATCAACTCGAATACAATCGCATGACACCGCCCGACTATGATCTGTCCAAGGTGAAGGTGCCGGTGGCACTCTACTACTCAATGAACGATATGCTGGTGTCGACAACGGGTGTCGATCGTTTGGCACGCGAATTGCCCAATGTGATTGACAAATATTTGGTGCCCATGGAGAAGTTCAATCATTTGGACTTTTTATGGGCGATCGATGTCAAGTCGCTCGTGTACAATCGCCTTGTGAGGAACATTAGACGCGTGGAGAATTATAAGCAAAAGCAAACGTTACAAATTAATGCCAGCATACAGCAGTTGAGTGTGCAGTTGCAGCAGCAGCAGCAGCAACAACAACAACAACAACAACAGTTACAGTGGCTACAGCAACAACAATCAATGGAAGCGAAACAACAACAGAGAAGCGGAAATATGCGTATACAAACAGACATGAGTTTCCATACAAATTCAAATACAATCGGCAGCGCCACTCAGCTGACGCACACACGCACACGCACACCACACCCACACAGCGCGCTACATGCGATTTACGCTGCTGCTTTGCCGAAACTTATGCCTACAGCAGCGACAGTTCCCATATACATGACTACGCTGCCGCCGACAACAACGACGTCGGCAGCACCGACATTGACAGCTGTCAATAAAGATTCAGTAACGAATTTCCATACTAATCCGCCTATTAGAATAGGCGTGGATGCCAGTCCGGAATCGCCTGTTTTGCTGACGAATATACACCCTGTCTATAAGCCCGATAAGGAAGGAGGTGAGCCGGAAAGCGTAAGTTCGGAGAGTTTTACAAATACTGAGACGACGCCGGAGGCTGCTACTACTATTGTAGCTCAACAGGACTTTACGGCAAGGACAGCGAATGAAGAGAATGATAATGCCTGAGGGGAGAGCAACGTAATTTTTATTAGTTTTTACTTAGTTCTAAGTAAGGTTATCTACTTTATGAATTTAAAATTAATTTTGTATAAAGTTTATTCTTTAGTTTATTGGCAATATTGTATAAATTTTTAGTTTAATAATTTTTTTTTTATTATTTTTCATCCTACTCATTCGCAATCACATTGAAATGGCACCTCTCTCTCCCATCCCAGCTTATCATGAATACGGCTTAAGCAGCTAGTACAGCGAACTAGAAGACGCCTCGGCTCTAGCTATCGAAAAGTTCTTGAATGTTCTTATTTTAAGACTAATTCAACTCGAATCCAATCAAACCTCCAACTGACATTAAAAGAGCTCAAAAGTAGTCGTGTAAGCGAACCTAAGCTAATGATAATTAAGTCCCCTTCAGCGTAACCTCAGGCTCATATTTTCAAACTGAGACATTTAATGAGCTCATTCTTATCGTAGTCGGCTAATCCCATTCCTATTGAAGTATCAAAAGAGAGCAAAGTGGATATGGTGGCCGTTGTAGGAGAGTGGCTAGCATTATGTTATAACAATCGGAAGGCCAAGCCTCCGACCAACATACGAAATTATGGAAAATTAATTTTTCTCGACAGGGAGAGTCCGAGTGTCCCTCGAGTGTATTTCTGATATAAAATAAAATTTTTTTCGCCCCTCGAAGGCAGCTGCGAATAAACTGCAAGTCCTTGCTTTGGTTTGAAAAAAACATCACACCACAAATTGCAGGAGAAGCTCGGCCAAGATTCACTTCAGTGGCTATAAAGCGCCAAATTATACTTGTCTTTTTTCTATTTCTAACTTCTTCTTTAATCATTGTAGGTAGACCATAACTCGTTCCCAAACCTCAATCCACTTAAATTATTTATTTGTAAGTAAAATATTTCAACACAACCTCAGGGAAGACCTTTTACTAAACTGTTACCCTTCGACACTGTTGTCACCTCCCAAAATCCTATACTAAAATCTAATCTCCAGGTTGAACTGGTTCACCCTAGAGAGTCTCACATAGACGATATCCCGACATAAGTGCTACCGGTTACTCTACAAAGAACTGTACTGCTGCAATACCTATAGTGTCTGCGCTCTCGGCGAACTATAGTAGTCGTTTTGGCCCTTTAGCCATTGTAGTGCTTTCTCACTAAAAAAGATCAGCTCCTATCTGCCAGTAGCCGGATTATAACAGATTTCGTACTCAACTGTCTCCGCACATTCCTGTGCTTGTTAAATCTAATTTAAAGGCAAGTCCAACTGACAAGACCCCTTTAAAAGCCCTACTAGCAGCTTATTGTCTCACCTCATTGACGCTAGCACGCTCCCAAAGTCTGAAAGCTTCAGTTCCAAGATCGTTTCTTGTGCGTACTTCGATTCCCTGATACCTTCTCAGTCTAAAATTAAAACTTGTTCTGATTATACACCCTCTTTAGCCAGTTAATCAGTTTTATTATAGACTTCGATGTGCTAATACCTCGATACCCAATAAATGTAAATTTTTGTTTTTCTCAAACAGTCTCTTTTGATCGCCTCTTACATGGAGCAACCACTGCTTCGTACTATATGAATGCAATGTCTTAAAGGCCGCTTGAACCTCTACATAAATGTAAACTCCCTTTCATGTAGGCATGATCTTTTCATAGGATCATCATCAGGCATTTTATAGCAAATATTTCGGCTCGAATGATACGCAATAGTTTTGACAAATTCAAGGATCTTCCCTCCTCTGGTGCGGCGTACTTATCCGCAGCCTACTAGACTTTATTTAGGGGAATCTGTAAGGAAATGCGGAATTACAGAGATTCAAAAGAAGAAAAAATTCTTTCGTATCTATTTTGTATTAACCGTTAAAATCCTTTGATTCATGCGATAACTTCAAGTGAATAATTTTATAGAAAAATCACGTCAGAAATATTCCAACAATCTTAGAGACACGTGTTTTTAGAGAGAATGATTTGTAAAGGTTTTCAAAAACTATTAACCTAGATACCGATAACCAAGAGTTGTAGATCCGTTGTCAAATCGGTTAATGTGAAAACGCTTTTGGTAGCATTTTCGAAATATTTTTCTTTTCAATTCCAAATTCAAAATCTCTTATATCGACGTTTATGATTTCATACTTTCAGGAATTTCGAAATCACAAGGAATGTTTATATTATCTGCAAACATTTAATTCCAAAAAAATCTTTTTTATATTTTTAAGTTCTTCCTTTTTTTATTTACATTATAAGTTTTTAATTATGATTTTATATACATTTTTGTACACTTATTTTTATATTTTACGACTAATTTAGTTTCGTTGTAGTATAAAGGAGTATAGATATTTATTTAGAATGCCTAAGTATGACTGTGATGATAAATAAATAAAAATCTATCTACCGATTGCTGAGTACCACACAAAAAATATACAAATAAATGTTACAATAAAAACACCTACGATATGAAATTAATCATTTTTTTGATACTTTGATGCGGGGTAATACATTTTGTGGTTTTAAAACATAAATTTTTCATGACATTTTTTTTTTATCATAAAATTTGACCCTTGGCCACCTTGAGAATTTTTCCAAACTTCGATCCGTTTAAAGTAATTTTCGACCACTTTTTGGCAAATATTGGGTGGTATCTCAGCCGTAACTTAACGAATATTGTTTTTTGAGTGCTTAAGAGCACAAAGAAAAGTCCAACAGTGTCGAAACGCCCGATCTCCGTGACTAATTGACATCGCCAAGACGAGAGATTACGCAGCCGTTAAGTTTCTCTCGCTCGTGTTGTGTGGCATGTGACACTTTCTTGTTGAAATCACATATTTTCCAAGTCGTTTTCTTCAACTGCATTCCAAAACTATGGGTTTTCACACAACCGTAATGATCAAATTGTCATTGACCGACTCGCCGCTGATGTTTTCAAAAAATTATGGTCCATTTGCACCACCGGACTCAAGAACGCACCAGGCAATAAGTTTTTTTATGAGAGCAATAGCCTCCTTTCAACTATTTGAGGATTCTCGTAGCCCCAAATGCGACATTTTTGTTTATTTACATATACTCTGAGTTAGATACGAGGTATGTTCAAAAAATATCGCGAATTTTGTGTTTTTTTTTTAATTATTTATTTATTCATGAATATCTATTTTGTCCCCTTCAAAGGAAACCCCATGAGATATCATACACCTGTGCCAACGGTTTTTCCAATCTTCGAAGCACTTCAAAATATTATTTTTTTAACTTGTACAGCTCCTCCTTCGATGCCGTCTTTATCTCGTCAATCGTAGCGTAAATTCGTCCTTTCATGGGCCTTTTCAGTTTAGGGAACAAGAAAGAGTAACAGGGGTCCAGATCAGGGGAATACGGTGCCTGCGGCATCATTAGTGTGTTGTTTTTTTGCCAAAAAGTCGCGCACAAGCAACGATGTGTGAGCAGGGGGGTTATCGTGGTGCAAAAGCCAATTTTTGTTATTCCACAAATCCGAACGTTTCTGGCGTAGTGCTTCGCGCAAATTGCGTATAACTTGCAGGTAATATTCCTTATTGATAGTTCCCGTACCCTGTGGCAGGAACTCATGGCAAGCTCTTCGTCGTTCACATCTTCTCGGCCTTCTGCGAACATTTTGTACCACCGATAAACGTTGCTTCGGTCCAAGGTAGCTTCTCCGTATGCCACAGTCTACATTCGGAATGCATCCGCGCTCTTAATTTCGTTTTTCACACAAAATTTGATACAGGTTCTTTGATCCATTTTTTTGAATAGGTAAGAATCGAAAACCATCCAAACCACGTGCCAGCTAAGCAGCTGTCAACAATTAAGTGAACATTCAAAATGGCCGAGCGTGTCGACATAAGTGACAGACATGAGTACCAACATAACGCCATAAAAAACTCGAAATTCGATTATACGTAACCCGCGAAAATTCAAAATTCCCAATACTTTTTGAACACAACTCGTATATGCCTCGCCGCTAAAGAGAATTTTATTCGAAAAATCGTCGTCCATTGTTTGATGTTCAAGCACCCAATCTACGTTGCCAGTTTTTGTGTGAACTGGACTTTATATGGATGTAGAGGAGAGTCCAAGTGAAAACTCGCCTTAATGTGCCGTAAGAAAATCCCAGCTTTCAGTGCGTCCAGTTATATACACATTCGAGTCTCCGAAGTGCAGCAGTGGGAATATTTGAGGTGGCACGAGCAAAACTATGATGCACAGGCCCTAAAATATCTTGTCTCCTTAAAATTTCTTAAAAATTTTAACAATTGGTTGCTTCGTAAGACGATTAAGTGCATAATCTTCTCTTAAACCAGGAAACGTCGACCTGTTTGTTTCATCATTTTTGTAGTAGATTTTAACAATTTTAATGGGTTGTGCGGTTCTTAAGTGATCCATAGTCATAAATGCTTAACTTTGAACCAAAACAAGTTTGGCACATGTCAAAATACAACTCTGTACTTTTGAAACTACAAACCCTATATTTCTACGCGTATTTGGTATATTCTTACGTAGGTCAATTTCTGTACGTATCTAATTTTTATTTTTATATTTGCTTCATAGGCCTTATTTAAAGCAAATTAGAAGGAGTCTAGTTCCGTAAACCGAAAAAAAACCTACGACGAAATGGGTGGAAGTGCTGTAATGCCTTAAAAAACATTTAATGACCGTATATTCCGTCTGGATAGGTAATCGTGACCAATCTGTGATGTCGCCGATTGTCAGTACCTTTTCTAAGAAGTTTAAGTATACCAGATGCTCAGATGTACAAATAGAAATTAATTTGACTACTGAAAAATTGATTATATAATATTTTTTCGCCATTATAACTAGCCCAATATCTGCTCGTGTATAAAATATTTTAATAAATTACTTCCTCTGCACATACATATATTAGCATGCAACTTTCGTCGCTTCCGCCTTTTTTCAATTACTTCCACCTACGTGTACGTCAAACTATTTTTTTTTTTTTTAATTAATTCATATTCGTACAATGTTTAATAATAATTGACAAAATCAATAAACTGTCTGACCATAACCGAAGAGATAATTGACATGAATCTAAGCAAAATAAATACGTACTCTTCTTCTTCTTCTTCTTTCGCTTAGCCTTGGTTCAATTTAAATAAAATATAATTTGTACAGGCATTCCTTATAAAAAGTTGTACATCAAATGAAAGGTAATTTTCTACTCTATTTAATGAACTTATTTTTTAGTAGGGTTAATAAGGCCTTTTTTTAATAAAATAATAGTTAATTAAAAACAAATCAATTTGTTTAAATTTTCCGCATTTTGTGTAAAACTTTTAAGCATACACATATATATATGGATATCAAATTAAAGGTATTTTCATTACCTGTCCTCTGGTGTCAGCAATAAAGAAATTGGCTAAGTATTTTTTTAAATATAACCATTTTAACAATTTTGAATTCCCCCCTTATCCACCCCCTGGCGCCCATAATATTTATTTGCACAGGAAATGTTATATACCGGTGAAATCACTTAAATATTCCCAACAATCCCTACTATTTAATTTTTCCCTGGGCGAAGAGTCGGTATTCTGAGCTTATACTTAAAATAATACAGAGTGTGCCATCTATATTGAATAACTTTGACAGATTTTAAACTTTTTTGTAAGGTTATTCCATACAATTTCAGCCATGTATCGCTTTGCGCCCAAAGAACGTGCTGAAATACATAATTATAATGAACATTGAGCGCAATCGTTCAGTTGTTGCAACACAGCGTGCGTAGCGGAAAAAGTATCGCGGCGGTTCTGCGCCTAAAAGTGGCACTATTCGTCGCTTGGCTTCGAACGGGTCTGTCGCGAACCGTGAACAACGATGAAATTCTTTCTAAAGAAGTTCCCCGGACGTGTGGTATCGAAATGAGGGTCTATCGACTGGCCACCAAGATCGCCCAATTCGACTGCACCAGACTTTTTCTTGTGGAGTCTTTTGAAAAACAAAGTGTATGCCAACAAACCGAAGACTTTGGACGAGCTGAAGCACAACATTCCAGCTTAAATCGCTTCGATGTCGTCCGAGATGCTGGCAAATGTCAAGGAAAATGTCGAAAAAAGAGCAAAGTTTTGTTTGCGCAATGAAGGCTGTCATTTGATCTACGAAATTTTTGGAACCTAGACGGAAAAAATTGTAAGGCTTTAAATTTGAAAATAAAAAAAGTCAAATTATCAAGATTCATTGAAAATTTTTCAAGTTACTTAACATTTCTATTAACCCGATTTAGATGACACACCCTGTACAATTCTACATTTTTTATAATAAAAACCATTATTTAGTAGCACCGCTTAAAACAGTGAAGACCAATACAAACCTGCAATACCACTGTCATGGGTAGAGCAGAGTGGCTGAGACGACCCAAATGAGCCCATCCGCTACTGCGTGTAACAATTGGAGATGTGCTCATTTTATGAACGATTTTTGCGGAAGGATCTTGGTTTGTGGGCATACAAAATCCAACTCGTGCAAGAATTGATATTAAACGACCATCAAGCGCGTAACACGTTCGGTGAATGGGCTCGAAACTAAATAGGCACCGATGCCGATTTTCGAGTAGAATATTTTGTTCAGCGATGAAGCTCAATTTTTGTTGGATGGGTAAATTAATAAACAGTTCGTGGCGTTTAGAGTAATGCTTCCACAAGCCATAGTTGGGGCGCCTTTAGATCCTCAAAAAGTCACTGTTTGGTCTACTCTATAGGCAAAGGGCATTTTTGGTCCATATTTCTTCAAAAATTAAGCCGTTCATAATGTTAAGGTCAGTGAAGAACGCTATAGAGTCGTGATTCATGACTTTTTCGTGACTGAATTGAAGGAAATCTATGGTGTGCGTATCATCCCGCGATGTGAGAATGTGATGTGGCCGCCAAAATCGTACGATTCAAAACCGCTGGTCTATTTTTTTGGAGTTGTTTGAAGGCACTGGCCTGCGTAGATAAGCCCGAGATGATTGACGCCCTGGAAGACAAAAAAAATACACAAAGAGGCACATTCTCTCCGCTCTTTAAAACCCCCCAACTCTGTTAAACGCAATCCTTGATGAAAACCTTAGCTGGCAGGAACATGTTGAAAGCAAGCCAGTAAAACGATCCAGTTTAAGACCTCTACAGCGTTAGAAGACCCACCCTCACATACTGATCACTGATATAGTGGGCGACATAAGAGAAGCATTTTTCTATTAAACCTTTAGAACAGTTGTAACGTACCTGTCTATTTAGTATAGCGCGATGAGGACTACCTCAGCAAAGGCTCCAGAAGTCAATCTCGACATTAGGCCTGTTAGTATACAGCGCTAAAATGTCCTAGATAATTGGGTTAAGTCTCCAGATAGTGAAGGACCTGGCAGCATTCAGGTAATTTTATAAAAACTCTGGAAACTATTTGATCAAGTTTCAAGGTAGAAGGATATGTGACTTCAGGCGCGTCTCCAGACCCATAGACGAAGCAGAGTCAGCAGAGTACTACCACTGCCCTGCCTTAAGAAGATATCACGTCAGCAAGTGTCAATCGCCTCAATCAATCACCGACCCCCCATAGATATCAAAACCTGCCAAAAGACCTAAGTACCCTCGCTCATGGTATTCCGTTATAGAGCAACCTAAGTAACCTAATAAGTGTGTCAATTCAAAGTTTAAATACCTTAGAACATCCAAAAGGTAATTAACAGACTATCGCGGAAAACCACAATGGATATAACCTGGGTGCCAGGCCAGGAAGAAGGCAATGAAAAGGTGTGCGAATCGGCCCGCGTGAGCGACGCTTTCAAATATTGTCTAAGCAGTGGGCAATGGAGGAACATGTACTTTGCGAATGTCTGGCCTTCAGCCTGTAGAGACTTCAAATTTTTAACTATGCTCCCAACTCCAATCAGACGTTGGGTGGGTGCGTATTTTCAAAATAAACTAAAACTGATAATAAAATCTTGTGAAGTTTTCGCAATCGTTTAGTTGGGTTGCATGGGGGAGCACAATGAGATTTTCCAATGGCTTAAGGCGGCTGCTTATATTCAGGTACTCAACCTGCTTGCCTCAATGAACTAACTAATCAACAATATTCAAACATCATCCAGTCAGTCCAGCCTTAGGAAAACGAGCACTCGCTCGTGTGCTAAACTTTCAATACCCTAAAATACTTTCTGGCCTCATTTGTATTTCCAACTGGCGCCAGACAGCGAGAAAAAGCGGGATATTAATTCGGATATAATCGCGCAAGCGACGCCATTAATACCTTTTTGGAAACTCCAAGTGAAATCAGGTCATTTATGCTCCACCTAATAATTCCAACGGAGCGGAGGTTTTTCTCTTTCTCTGCTTCCACCAGTGGATACTGCATCGAATACTAGCGTACCCTATCACCGTATAACTTGTACGGCTTATCGTTCCCTCGTCTGAGATATTCGCTACTGCCAATGCACAAAGGACCATAAATCTTTCGCAAAACTTTTCTCTCGAAGGCACCCAGGGCTCTCATCAGACTCATCAGATGTTGACATCATCCACGCTACTGCGCCATATATCAGGATGGTTATGATGAGCGACTTGTAGACCGTAAACCGCAATAAAAAACTGTATATGCCTTTATACCATTGAGAAAATATTCTTTAGATTTCTCTTCAAAAAGGTTTTCCACGGTCGCTTTCAGCCCACTGTCGTCAGAAAATCTTCGTTCTCGCAACTCCCTTTTTAAATTTGAAAAAAAAAGACAAAAGTCACTAGAAGCCAGGTCGGAACTGTATGGTGGATGGTTAAATTCCTTGAATCCAGTAGCCTTTAAGGCGCATACCTTGCAACCCATGCGGTCGACTTCCTGAACATTTTCCTAGGTCACGACTGTCCTCTGGTCCTCCTTTTTTAAACAGGACAGTCCATTTTTTCATCACCGTACCAAAGTACTGAACAACCCATGACATCTCTTTAAAAATTTCAATGTGCTGTATCACATGCAAATTTTCAGAAGTTAAATTAATATAAATTCAGGTGGGATGGTGTCATCAACTTTAAAAAAAAAAACATAACAAAAAAAATGTAATCAACTCGTACATACTCATATAAACAAGTTTACCTCAACGACAAACCAGACTTTTGAATTAAAAGCAAAGGTGATTTGCAAGACACATCTTTCATTGACAAATTTGTACCCCAAAAGGGAGTGATCCAGAATGGTCCAATTGGTAACACAACTCACCAGATATTTTAGAGGTGGTCTTTGGAGATGCTGAAATAGTTTATATATATGTATGTATCAAAAAAAAATATTATAAAAATGTCTTATTTTCCAAGGGACATACATTGCATTGTATATTTGTATATTACTTGCGATAATTAATGCTCTCTTATAAGCGGCCGTTAAAGCAAGTGGTTAGCAGTATCTACTACCATGCGGAAGATCATCAGTTCGAGTTCGGATCAGACAAAAATCAAAAATTATAAAAAAGTTTAATAAAAAACAAAAATCAAATTTCCCTAACTGCAGTCGCCCCTCACAGAGAATGTTTTAATATCTCCGAGTGTATTGCTGACAAACGTTCACAGGTGGCTTAGTATAAGCTTAAGGTCAAACATCAAGACGCACATCACGAATTGGAGGTGGAGCTCGGCCAAAAAATCGTTCGGCGGTTATACAGCGTCAATTATATACGATGGGATTAACAAAAGTTCGGTAAGTTGAACAGTAAAAAAAAAAACAACACCTTCTTGTATTTATTCGTAATCTTTGTCCTTTTTTACTTTCTTACATAAACGTCGTTGATTTAATATATTTCTTAAGCCTTTAAATTCACTTCTGAAAACAGTCTTCAAAATATTGCTTTTTCAGCTGATCAAGTTCAGTATTAACCGCATTAATTGTCTTCTCGTTGCTATTAAAGACCTTTCTTTTAATTTTGATTTTAATTTTTGGAAATTACAAGAAATCACAAGGTGCCACATCCGATGAATATGGTGCTGGACGTATGTCTTCGATCCCAGAGATCGCAAAATAATTACTCCTTATTGCGGTAGTGTGGGATGGCGCGTTGTCGTGATGTAAAAAGTAGCGCCGCGAATCCTCTTTCTTCCTATTTTCAAACAAATTCTTGAAAACTTTTGATAAACACTCTTCCCCGTCTGTCCCTTTTCCAGTGGAATAGCAGCTACGATTTTAGATCGGGTGATGTAAACTGATCTCATTACTTTTGCTGTTGATCTTTGTTGCTTAGATTTTACGGGCGGGGTTTTCCCTGTTGGGTTTCATACCATGGACTGCTGTTTGGTTTCTGGATCGTATTTATAGCACCAAGATTCGGCAACAGTAACGACTTTACTGAAGTTGCTAGACTGACTATTTCCGGATTTATTTAGGAAAAATGGAGCAAAATGCACTCGAGCCTCTTTTTGGGTCTCATTTTCAATTCAAGGTACACATCGAGCAGTTTTCTTCGTGAATTTCAGATGATTACTTAATATACGCGATACAGTTATGCCATTTAAGCCCAATTGTGGGTCTGCGTCAGTGAAAGATTTTGGTCGACATTCTCGGGGCTCGTTCTCTATGAAAAAATGTCCGGTCAAGAATCTATCGAACTACTAAGAAATAGTCTTTAAAGACGGTGCAATCGTTCCATATGCAGTTTGATATTCACTGAATTTTTGTGTTGACCGTAAATTACGCCGAAGCACGAAGAGAATCAGATGGCAAATTTCTTTTTGCGTTGATGATGGAATTTCATCGTCAACAGTTTAACCGATCGTTCTTAAATTTGGGAGTAAGACCAATCAAATAATTGCAAAGGATTTGGCATTTTTTGATTTAAAACAAAAACAAATTGAAAACCACTAACTGACCGAACTTTTGTTAATCTCCTCGTGGATATGTATTCTTATGTGATTTGCTCATTTGATTACGCGCGTTTTTAGCAAATATTAAAAATTAAACGATCAGTGTTGATGTGCCGTCTGTCTAGTGAAGTTGATAATAGATTTTTTGTTGAAAAATTAATTATTAAAATTGTTTTCTGATGAGTCAAGAATATTTCTTCAAATTATTCAAATATGTTTTATTATTCATTTTGTGTATCTTAAACACCAATCCGGTGGCAGCAACCAGTTGTCGTACACCTTTTGGCGCGCTAGGCGATCAGCTACCGTTAAGCGACTGCAAGCCGTTGCTAGATTTTGTTCATGAATATGGTTCGAAAATGACAGTAGTGCAGACTAAATTTCTGGAGATGAGTTATGTGAACTACACACAGGTAAGAAATCTATAGAATCTCTTGAAATTCTAGCTGAGCTTATCTCAAGGTGACTAGCTTCCGCGTGGACATATACTCCTACGTATATAAATATGTGTATATATCTGTCCGTCTGTGTTTTCTATAACTGAAATAAAGTTTTAGATATTTTGATGAAACGGAATGATGGCTAATACATTCCTCGAGTTAGAAGTACGACTATAGGACATGGGTGCAATCGGACCAAGTTAAAGCTCATCTCTCGTGTAACGGTAATTTTGAAAAGCACAAAAAGCGCCAAATATAATAAATATAATGACCTCAACATGCATAATTTCATTTGTTGCTCTTACATACTTATAAACACCCCCGATTGGTTTGAGACTGAGCGACTTCGCCGGTGCTCGAATCAGAGAAAGTAGGCTGCCTACCTCGCAACCTTGCCACCGACCACTAAAAGTGCGAGATGGAATAAATACCGAAAATTTTAGATGGAAGAAAGACGTATTTGCAGACAAAGAAAGAAAGACGCCGATTTGTGAGTGAAAATTCTACGAAAGGATACGTCGGTTTACAGAAGGTTTCAAGACCGGAGCAGACTCTTGTGAGACACAACGACCGATGGATTGCCGGCCGGGCGGTGAAGAACTAATAAGTTACATGTATCAGCTTCCAATTACTACGAGTTAAGTTTCCTTAAAAGGGCAAATAATATTCTATCGAGCGCATTGTGTGAAAGTCCACCGTCAACAAACTGAATAGACATCATCAGTGCGGCTTTAGACTTGGTAAATCAACCCGCCGAAACGTGTATAGTGACACCTAAGAAAGATATCATTGCCTTCTCTTTGTCAATCAACGAAATCTTTGAGTATTTCTCCTTCCTCAAGTGAGACCAATGTACTTTCATTTCCCATAGCGATGCTAAAGCCGACAGGGTTTTTAATAGGATGTAGACCTAGTAGTGAACGATGGCAAGATGAAATATTTGCTGTTATCAAATTTACAGTCATCGCATTCGCAACTCGGCTGCCACGTCACCGCTGACAGTCATAACTTTGAAGCCGCAGGTAACTTCTTCTCCGTCCTATTAAATGCTGCAGAGGCATGTGAAATTACAACATCTGTTAAGTCAGCGGTACGAATTTTCAGGAGACAAGGCTTTGCGTAAGATTTATGGTCCTCTACGAGTTCGAAACAGACGATGGAACCATGAGCAGTACGATTTTTATGATGACACTGACTCATTTCAGCGAATCACGAAACAGCGCCTACCTTGGCTGAGGCATATAATCGGGATGGACAAGATTACTCCTGCTTTGAACGTTTTAGAAGCAGTCTCCGCCGGCGAAAGCAGAGGAAAAGGAAGATCTCCACCCCGTTTGAAGGTGGACAGGCACCTGACGCCAAAATACAAAAAGCAGAAATGAATGAACCACTTTTACTTTGAAAATTAACTCCACTATTTTTTGATACATTTTACATATATATTTTTTTGATTTATTTTGAATTTTTTTTTTTTTTTTGAAAATATTTTTAACTTAGCGAATTATCTGTTGCGACCTGGAATTTGAACCTAAACGTGCTTTCCAGTCGATTGGCCGCGAAATTCTACGAAATCAGGCAGAGTCTTGCGGTGATAACACTCGCAAGCGTATCTCTTTCGGATCAGAGAGTACATTTCTCGCCCACCCCTGGTCCGTGCTGTTGATCTACAGCAGTGGCTATAAATTTCAATGTGGCGGCACTGTGATAACGAATCGATATGTACTGACTGCAGCTCACTGTGTAACGATGCAACTGTGAGGATTTCTTTTAATTGAATATATAATTATTAAAGTTTAGGGTTATCCGATAAGAGGTGTTACTTTGATATTCAACGAATAATGATAATTTTTGTGCGAAATCATCAGAAGTTCAGTTCAATGTAAAAGGGAAGATATGTTATTATGACTACAGGACCGTAATCTTTTTGTGAAATTGTCTGTTATCAGCTACCACTGTCCTCAATAGCATAGAAAGTTTTAGTTCTTGAATTGGCATTGGTCTATTGGTGTAGATCCCAGAGGAAGAAGTCGCATGGTGTTAACTCCATATAATCTCGGTGGCCAATTGCAATCACCTCTTCGAGAGAACACAATGTCCGGGAACTGGTCTCTTTATCGACCGATGGTTTCGTTGCTCATGCGGCACGTAGCACCGTCTTGTTGAATGCCATCCAGATCAATTCCATCCAATTCCGGTAATTTAAAATCATTAATCATCTCTCTATGGCGCAATACATCCACTGTTACTGTTGCTGCAGCCTCATTTTTGATAAAGTTACCTTCAATCAACATCCAAAAGTTGTGGAAAATTGATTTAAATAAAAAATCAAATTAAATTTTCTAAGGGCATTTCGGACATGAAATAGAGGCTCTTGGTAAAAGAACAATAACAATGCGGAGGCGGCTTAGCATAAATTGTAGGTCCTTCCATTTGTTGGAATAACATCGAGACGTTTTTCGAGTCCCAGAGCCGATCCAAACAGTAACACTTTTAGGATGTAGAAGTTTTCCAACAATAAAGATAATTTTTCGATAAAATTTCGGGACATTTTCAAGAATTTCATGGACTCAATCAGCAAAGACACGAAGTTGTTCCTTAAGAACCAGATCTTTTTGCAAAGTACGGTGTTACGACGTTTGTGGAATACCCAATTACAAAGCACGATGACCTGGTTTTTCTTCAACAATTTGGCCTACAATAGCAATATTCTCAGTTGTCTTTGGGCTATGTGCACGAGTTTTATTCTTCACATCAATAACTTGTCGGAGTAGCTTAATTTTTGTTCATCAATTTCTGTATTGAGGTCCGAGAAGTTGCTTCCCGAGCAGCGAAATTGGTTTGGTTTTACAAACCGTTTCTGCTAGATTTTCACCATTTTTATGGCGAATTTTAATCACTTGAACGCGTTGTCGAATCGTGAACTGTTCTGAAATACTTCTTCAAAAGTTACACCTACCGGAAAAGCAGGCTATTCAACACCTCTTATTGGCATACCCTTTAGATACTAAGACTTTTCATAGAATAAGTGTGTACCCTCATCACACTGACTCAAATCAAAATTCCTAAATTTTACTTTCCTTCTAGCGTTGCTGTTCGCCTCGGCGAGCACAATACAGATTTATTAGTCGATTGTGAATTGGATGAAATGGATCAGGAGCACTGTCTAGCACCGGCCATAGATGTTGCCATTGAGCGTGCCATTAAGCACAATCATTACTCCGAGGCATTATCCAATAGTGACATTGCGTTATTGCGATTGGGACAACAAATCCATTTTATAGGTACACGCGATTAGACCAGTATAAAGCATGTCAAGATTTTCAATCATTTCAGTTGGTTATCTATTTTATTATTTTTTTTTTTTTTTGTTGTGTCGAACTCTCCACTACTCTCCGACTAACTCAGTGTTTTATTCTCATTCCGTGTTATAGACAGCGTGAAGCCCATTTGTATACCGGAATATCAGGGCCAAGAATTTCAAAAGCGTTTTGGCATTATTGGCGGCTGGGGCGCTACCGAGAATTGTAAGCAACAACTACATACATATCCTTTTCTTGTTGATAGATTAAATCAAAAATCAAAATTTTCTCTTTCTCATTTCGCTAGCATCATTCTCTAATGTACATCGTGAGGCTGAGATTCCCATCATTTCACGTGACAGCTGTCAGGCGGTTTATAAACGTCGTACGGTGGATGAAACAAAAGTCTGCACCCGTGGCGCTGAAGATGAGAACACATGTAAAGGAGACTCGGGTGGGCCATTGACGGTGCGTGTGGAGGGTCATGAAGATGGCACGAATCGTAAATTCCGTTATATGCAAATAGGTGTGATATCATTGGGTTTCAGAGACTGTGGAGTGGTTAAAGGTACTCCTGCTATATATACAAATGTTGCTGCTTTCATTGATTGGATTGCGTTGCATATTGAGTTGTGAGAATGTCAACGAAAGGCGAAAGATAAATTATACGAATAATGATGTCATGGAATACGTTGCTTTTAGTATTTTCATGGAATTAAATACCAATTTCCGGAGCAGTTCATCGAAGATCTGCGAAAACTCATTTCGAAAATTCCTAGTCGACTTCCTTTATTCGCGTAATGGTCGAGAAATCTGAAAATATGCTCAGTAGTTTCTTCACAAATGTATATTGAGAGCTCGCTTAAAACAAATTCCAAAAGCCTTATGAGTCTCCAACATATTGAAAACCAAATGCTCATTAGAACAGCGTGATAAAGTATACCAAAGCCAGCAACCGATGTACCGCCTTCGGTGCTCGCAGTATCTGTTAAGACTTAGATAACGCCCATTTGTATATTTTCCTTCGTCTTTTGCATTGCTTATATAGCGCTCGTCGAAAAGGCCTAAAACGCGCCCTCCAAGCGTTTACCCTCTTCCGTAGATATCTCCCCATCGGTCCCAACTATATCAGGGATTTCACTTAAAGTTGGTATTGTGCCTCTCCGAGGGTGAAGTAACCCCATCCACCAACCTTTACACCTTGGCATCAAAGTTCAAGCTCTCACAAATGTCTCTCATCGTGGAGCATTATGCTGGTCCTGTTAGGAGTGGGTGTTTGCTGCTCAGCTTAAACCCCTGAAGCAATCCCCATTTTGGGTAGTCTGGCTATGATGCGACTTGAACGGTGAAATCGAGATCATACCTCCTTAGAGAAAGTCCTCAAATTAGACTCAACCAATAAGTTGGTACTGCCAGTAGTCTGTTGCCAGCCTGGCAGTTAGTGTTTTTTTAATCGCAAATTGGAACAATCAAGGTAGAGGAGGTAAGTTTAATATTTCGTGGCACCACCTCAGTCAAGGATATCAGCATTTACTCTTCCAGTCCGCTGGATATTCTGGTTTTAAATGTACTCATCGTGTGCACAAGGCAAATAAAAGAGTGCGTTATCTCTCTCTCGATAACTTCAAGCTGTTTATCTATAAGGCTATATCTAGTCACCGAGTTACAACGGAATGGTTGGTAACTGGGAAACTGATGAACTTCCAATTTTTGGCAACCTCGAGTCGAAATTATCAAACTGGAGATGAGTGAGGAAACCTCTAATTGCTTATAGTATTCTCCTGAGTAGAAGGACCTTCAAACGTACGGATAAACAGCATCATCGCAAGACTCTACGTGGTTGGGAAAAATCACAGAAGGTCGACAAGTCTGTAGCACTAATCAAGCCACACCTATAGCTTTTGAGAGGAACTTTGTCTAATTATACGTTGAGGAGCTGCATGAAGGGTGAATCAAAGCAGTTTACCCTGTCCTTAGGAGATTGAAGCTCTATCACTTTGGCTCTCATTATTTTGTCTTAGCAGTTCAGATAACTGGCATTTAAGTATCTCATGTTGCGGAACCATAAGTTATCAACTAGACTTTCAGGAACCGGTAAATCTAGCCTCACAACGACAAAGTAATAAATTAGCTTAGTGGAACCCAATACTGTACGGCTGCCTACCAAATGTACCTTACATAAAAATTTCTTGTTGGCCGAAAGGTAGACGGTGCTTGTTGCCATGAAGAGCGCCTTTAAACAGTGAACGGGACAACATCCAAAACAACTTTAAGTCGCCCCTCGGCAGGAAATGTTAAGCGTTTCGAGCTATTTGGAGGCGGCTGGGAAACTGGTACCACTTTGTTGGAATAAACATCAATACCCTCAATACTAATGGGCACTGACCTTTAAATTACAAATTTTTATTAGAAAATATCAAAAATTTTCCAAAAAAAAAAGATGACTATAAAACAATTATTTTGTTCACACACATACATACGCACAAATTCCCAAGGGTAGCATTTAATCAACTTACCTACGCATTTCCTATATTTTAAGCCATAAATAATTTAGTTCTTTACCTAAAGAGCTAAAGAGCTTTTTTCTCACTTGAAAAGTTACTCAAAAGTAAGTAAACTAAACACAAAATAACACAAACTGCCACCCGCCTCACGAAATTCAAACACTCAACCGACCAGCTCATCAGTTGTTGGTCATCAACTTTCACATCAATTTATTTACGTCGCGTTGCCAAGGCGAGCTCTGCGTCTCATTATTATGGATCAACATTTATATTATGAAAATTCATGAAAACTCATTGCTCCTTCGGCTTCTGCACACCGCACCGTCACAAGGTATGGAAGAAAATTAGATTCGAGTAAGGCGACTGCTGCTACAGGCATCATTGTTTATCTGCGTCCAAGAACGTTGATTGGAGTCTGTGATTTTGTTAGAGGACAAACAAAAAAAGTATAAATATTGTTTAAAAGCAATTTAAAATATTTATGAGCGTTAATAAAGGTGAACCCACTCGGTGGCTTTTAAAGAGGGGGGATAGCAGATAAGAATAAACAACGCAGCTGCCAATACCGCTAAGTATTCCATCCGACGACTGCAGCTGTGCGAATTACCCGACTTTGCGCCAAACTTTTGCAACTTTCGTGCGGAAAACTTCAATTTGACAATTCCCGTTTTGTTTTCTCTTAAGTTCATGTAGCTATTTGTGCTTGTCACTTTGAATAAATGCAAAGTTATCTTCGCTGTTATTAGTTTTGTTTAACACTTGCTAATGAATGGCCTGCACTCTGTGCGCTGACTTTCCGACTTTCCAACTTTTTTATGGAGTTTTTGTGCAAATATTGAGCGAAGCTTTTTCGCGATTGACTGAGTCTTAAATCTGCTTTGATTTCAGCAAGCGAATCGTGGTAATGTACGAATTTGTCTCGTCCTGGAGTTCATTAATGGTCTAGTGAAAAGTAATCCATTATTATTGCAGTTGATCGCTTAAGTGCTGCGTATCTCGAGCTCAGTAATTGTGCTTGGATGACCCCAAATGGCTTGGAAAAGACAATATTTTGTACTAAAAGTAAAGATAAAAAAAGCGGACACGCAAGTCATGCAGATGAAAATCTGAATGGTGTTTACGGTTGTAAGACTGAAACATTCAGGCTGTGATAATTTTTCCCCACGGTGTAGAAGGCCAATTTTCGAAAATGTCTATAAAATAATAGAAATCGTCGAGTCTGATCATCATCCGATCACATTTATGGTTGTCTAGGAGCTAAACATTGAGCGAAAAACAGTTAAGAACCACTTGAATAAGGCTATATCTAGACACCGAGTTACAGATCTCTCAAAGACTCCTTTTCATTTACCTACTCAATCCAAAGTAGCAACTGTTGCCAAAAGTTGCTGGACCCCGGATTACAGCTGGTAACTGCAAAACTTATATGATTGAACTAATGGGCGATTGAACTAATGGGCGTCGATCTTACCAAAACGCTGATGTATGGGGAAACCTCTGGCTGCTCATAGTACTCCCCTGAGCGAATGAATCTGCAAATATTGGGTAAACAGTTTGACCATATCCACCTGACCTTCCAGGGTTAAGGTATATCGAGGAAAATCGACAAATCTCCAACACTCATCAAGCCGCATCTAAAAGATTTTGATAGGGACTTTTCCTATTTTGACTGCAGGAGATGAATGGAGTACGACAAGAAGGAATCAAAACAGTTTATCCTGCCTTTATGAGACTAAAGCTCTATCACTTTGGCTTGTTATCTATCACCGTTTCTTGCTGCTGGCTGGATATCGGCTTCCTAAAGCGGTAGGTGATTGGTGATGAAAAGTGGTTCAAATACTAAAACGCTCGTGGTCGACGGGTCGTCAGCTGACACAAACCTTCATCAAGTCAAAATTGACGACCAGCAAGGTCTTATTTTGAGTTTGGTTGTATTGGCAAGGAATCATCCGCTATGACGCCTATAGCCGGATCTGGATTACAACAGTGGAATTTATTACAACGAAGATTATTTAACTAGTTTTTAGAAGTGTATTGTAATGATTTTGGAAGACATCTTTTGCAACTAAATTTAAAAAAAATAACAAAAAAAAGTTCAAATCTGAAGAGATATTACTTTAAAAATAAAATATTCTCCTTACCAATGAAAGATTTGCACCATTTTAAAAGTCACCACCATCCCTAAGAACCTCTATGCTCATAGCCCGAAATATGGTCGAGTGCAGTACCACATTCTGACACAAGAAATCTTCCAACTATGTTGGCTATCACCGGATATAAAATCGCACAACCAAATCGATCTTATTGTAATAGACGAAAGACTTGTCTCCAATGTTCCAGAAGTGCGTACGTCCCGTTGATCTCTGTGCAGGAAAAAACATCAAGCAAGGAAGATCTGATGCAGCAATTGCATGAGGCAGCCAAATGGATTTTTACTCGACTAAGACTCCAGTTCCCTGAGATCATTCGGCTCTCATTAGCAACTCGGTATAACAGAACTTTAGTACGACATTGTAAGCCCACTACGCACAGCCACTAAAGAAACAATGTTGGATGGAAATCTATAACGGTGGGAATGGTCAGACTGCATTGAGAAGAAATCAGACTACCTCTCCGTAATATTGTTGAATGAACTTGAAAAACTGTTCGATAGAGGTAATGCAAATTCTTAAAGTATACAAAAATATGGCCTGACGACTGAGAAACTGGCAAAGTGTATGCGCTAGCTACTTGACAGAATTTAAACTGATGAATATATGGGAACCTTAATTCAGAGAGCCCACTTTCTGCGCCAATTATCGTGGGATAAGCCTCCTTAATATCCCATAAAGGATTTGATCGAGCGTATCGTGCGAGAGATTCAACCCAATCGCCCACGAACTGACTAGCCCTTAACAGTATGACTACAAACCTAATAAAACCACCACTGGCTACATGGTTAATATGACAATTCTTGGAAATTCCTTTGAGTCAAAAACCCATAAACCTTTTCAAAGCCTTCGGCAGCTTAAAAAGAAGCTTTCCTTATGCTGCTATGTCGGAATTCGGTTTCGGAAATTGACTCTGGACAATACCAGAAGGACAGCCAAAATATGAAACAAAGGAGTTTCAATCAAGCTGGTTACTCTACGTATGACTTCGTGTGAATTTTCGTAATCACTACCGCGCTTTCGGGCCTGCCAAGAGAATTTAGAAGAAGAGCAACATCTGCAGCATCTGATTGAACAAAGAAGCGAAACGAATAGTTCTAGTCGCAATC